AACACGACTTTCTTTTAGATATAGATAATAAAATAATAATAATAGAGATAGAAGATTATTCTGTGTACCCCTAAAGTTAAAATTTCAAAATTTGTACGAGTTTTGCCTTGCCATATAATGCATAAGTAGTCATCTAATTCAATACCTAATGAGATAACAAAACATTTATAAATAGATTTTGTCCCTCTCGGTCAGTTTCGGTCGTTGGCAAAAAGTTGGAATAGAAACCCGCTTCCATGGTGACATTGATTTGTGACGCGACACAACTCCGAAGAAAAACTGCGTACCATCTTCCTACAACAGCGAAGTGGTGCAGGCGGGGCTTGCCCTCACCTCGCCGACCCGCCCCAGGCGAGTTTTCAAACAAAGTGAGACAATAAATTCTTGTTAAAGAATACCGCTTAAGAAAAATGGAGCTCGTCTTTTCTCTTCAATATTATTACGATTTGACTGTTCTTGACAAACATTTTATTCCAATAATGGCTTAAACACTCAATAAGTTCTTACGTACCTAAATCCATTTAAAACTGCTGAGGCCACAGAACGGGGATAAGGAAAAAAATAGGCAGACAGTCGCTGTCGACCGCACATTTTCATAAAGAGTTGTTTATTAAAATTATTGACTAACTATTTAATCGAAATGTCAGGAACACTTACATCGATCCTAATGGAATCGCGTTATTGAATTATTTAACTCAGAAAAACGGCCTAATTCTCAATTTAATCACTGAATTTCTATCCGGCACTAGCTATGTTCGTTTTTTATAAAGATGGCGTAGTATTAAAAAATAAGGTTTTCAATATGGATATAATTTGTGCAGTATTTGATACTGGACAATTCAATTGGGGCAGTCCATCGAGAGCCCTCAAAGTAACCCCATTGCGTGTATCTGCAGGTGAATACTTTATTTACAAGTACCTACACTCACGAGTTCCCGCGCTGAATTAAAAGTTTTTCATTGATATAGGAACATTTTTTACTTATTTAGTGGTATGACGATACGACTTTAAACTCGCGTAGTCTACGTGTAAATTTATATTAGAAAGGAGTACCTTTATAATTTAATACTTAATCTTTAAGTATATCCAATTTAACTACCTCTGTATAAAAAGCCCTTTCATTAATGAATTCCGTTCGTTGGATATTATTTTACAGCATTAACAAGCGCAAACTATAAAAAAACGCGAGTAAAATTAATGAGAGCGAAAATGTTCGAACTCGTTGGGTCACGATAAAATCTGGATTAATGACTCTTACAGACGCTGATGATAGGAAGGTATCTATGATTGACCTATTTGCCAGGTCATAATCCGTAACCCCGTTCTTGTGAGGTAAGTATCTTAGCCTCTTGATCACCCTTACGCTAAGTTATCCCGTACCGAGGTAGACTTAAAATAGAGAAATATTTTAATCCGCGCTAACGACAGGGATTTTCATCTAACATAGCCGAACGTAGCTGTTATACAACATACCTTTAACATGTTACGATATTGTTATTATTAGAAAATGAATTAACTTTCAAAATTACCAAACTTGACGCGTCAAACGAACGATTCCATACTTTGTTAATTACGAACAATCCACCTCTTTGTCAGGACTTGATGATTTTAATTCATGAAAAATTCACGCTGCTTTATTATACAAACAAGTTGTTATAATTGAAATCAAATATAAATAATATTATTACATCTACAGTACATTAATAAATATTTGGATCGCGAAATAATAAAACGGTACGAGGTGATGTAACCGCCAATCAGTCTTAATTTGCGAAACGCCATTTAATTCAATTATACAATTAACGTATTCCACTGCGCTTCATGTGTTATACTTCTCTTTGATTGAAAATATTTTTGGCTGAAACGTGTGGCCAGGCAGAAATGGACTATAATTGTCGTAGAGAGAACACGTGAGAAACATCTCACGACGATGACTTTTTCACGACGAAGGAAAACCTCCAGAAAATAATTTAGCTAAAAAACCAAAGAGTGCGGGGTTCTTACTTTATTCTGGTGCCCACCTCACAGCACTTATAATAAGGTTTGGGTCCTCTAAATAGAAGTAATATGAATATGTACACCAAGTAACGATGTTTTAATGTAATGTAATTGCATCGCTCAATCTCATATCAAGGATCACCGCCCAGCAGCCTGTCGATATTGGACAGATTCAATATTATCGGGCAAGACATTAGGCTGATCTTACCCGGTCAGAGTATTCTGGCGGTCAGTGATATAAGCTATGTAGTATCTGTTGCATGCCGCCGCATATATTATACGGATATTAATTCTCATTATAAGAATACGTTTGGTCCGTCGAAAATTGTTCGTAGGTATTTGGAGTCGTCAATTATTGTGCTCAGTTTGCACGAAGCCGCCATTCTTCGCCAAGTCCTTTCAACATTAAAAAAGTACCTTCGTATGATTAGCTGAATCCATTAACCGGGGTTAAATATCCTAAGGCTCGAAGTGTATCTATCCGCGATTGAGAAGCACGGTCAACTAGACTAAGTAACGAACCTCAATCATTGTGTCCGGCAAACTTGTTTGCAGTGATCCGTTTTTGATTACAACTCAATAGTTTGCTCTGTTGGGCGGCGCGCGGCGTCTGATCGAGCTCAAACTCGACTAAATTAATGAGAGTTACGTAAGCGTTTCGTGTTTTTATACGCGAGCGGATTGATGTTTATGTTTATACGGCGAATTGTTTTGCGGATTACATTGAACAATAATAGCTTCGTTTTCGGGTTCATTCATGATTTATTTACCTACAGGATAAAAAAATAATCGACTGTCTTACTGCAAACTTACATACATACTTGAACAGCTTGCCATAACTAATTGGATATGAAAAGATAATCGTTTTAACAACGGCAACAACATAGCAACACAATGGTAGCATTTAATTACGATTACGAATCAAGCAATTAGGTAATCTTTTATACATTTACAGAGCATATTCTTGTAATAAAACATGTTCTGACGTGACGTATAAAATTGAGAGCGGGGGAAACTTTTATGACAGACGACTTATGGTCTATCAACGTCAATCCCAGTGAGTTGGAGTAAGGCGATCTCAGCGACTTTAAGGTGTGTAATTAAAACTTACCACCGACAGAGACGCTCTCGAGAAGGCGGAGGTGTTTTATATTTCGTATATTGCTGAATATATGTATTATCATATATCTTATGTAACATATGGACCATCAGTGAACTTTTAGTCGAAGTTGTCTGTTTATAAATTGCGACAAAAAAGCGCGTTGTCAGTATGGTACAAAGTCGCTTTTATTATACAACATCAATACATAGTATAAAACAAAGTCGCTTTCGCTGTATGTCCGTATGTATGCTTAGATCTTTAAAACTACGCAACGGATTTTGATGCGGTTTTTTTTAATAGATAGAATGATTCTTAAGGAAGGTTTGTATGTATAATACATGCATATTGCACCCGTGCGAAGCCGGGGCGGGTCGCTAGTTTATTATTAATTAAGAATATAGAAAAACGAGAGACCGAATAATACGTATGACCCGGTAACTATAATCGAAGCCAAGACCGATTGCATATAAGCTTTTCAAATACATAATTCAATGATGTTATGTACCTCAGTGCGATCATTTCTAACTCACGGCCGGTTTGAGATTTTTAACACAATTGATTGGCCGCATTTGACAACGCCCTGAATAAAAACCCTTTTGAAAAAGTGGACATAATATTCTATGTAATACAGGGTGTAACTGTAAACCCAATGCGTCCAAAACGCTGACATAAAAGAAATGTTTTTACCTATCATTTTAATCGTTTTTGTTTTTGTGTTATTAATACAACATCAGCCTAGAGCAGTTGATAACAACTATTACTGCATAACGGAAACATATAATTTCTTAGTTTTATGAAAATTAAACTTGTTTTTAACCATCACCTGGTTTCGTTTACACCCACCCTTTATTGTGTATGACATAACAAAACATCACGCCTTTTATCCCCGAATGCCACTGTTCACTATTTATGTTATGAGTCTCATGTAATAGCGGGTGAGCCTATTGCCGTATACCGGGTACAATTCCAGAGTCCGTACTACTACTGAGATTTTTTTTAAAACTATTATTAGTAAAATATTTTGCCCGACCCGGGAATCGAACCCGAGACCCCTTGCCCGGCAGTGGCACTTGCGACCACTCGGCCAACGGGGCAGTCTGTATGTGTATGAGTGTATATAAATTGTGAAGCGGTATGGAGTCCGCGGCCAGCTCGTTTAATAATAAAAGCAAACAATCCGCATGTAATAGAAAGATGCACGAGGCGAAAAATTGCTAGTTAATTATGTATCCGTTCGGTGCCAACAAATGCGTTACATATTATTAATACCTACTCAATTTTGTTTCGACCATTTATATTGTATGTATGTAGTACAGAAATGTGTATTAAAGTTTATTGTTATAGAGTTTAAGCCCTGTCATGTACTGTAAAAATAACTTAGGTACTATTGAGAGGACCCAAGACCCAACTCCCCTCATACGTGCTGATGAAATGGTGAAAACCATACGTATATTTTCCCCCCAAACGCGTTTTGAAGCTAGTCGACAAAGGTGAAACAATAATACTAGGTTTGTAGCTACAATAATGAACTCACACGACGCGTGACGTAACGTTTAGCTTTGAATCGATATGTCAACTTTTAAGTATTCTTCAATACTCACACCAATGGTCTACTACCATGGTCAAAACCACTATACTCTAGCTAGTATACACATTTTCATTCAACCAATTTTCGATTTAAAAACAATACTGCTTGTATACGCACGACTTGGAGATTTCAACGCAACTCCTTAAAGTTATTCATATAAACATATAAAACAGGAACCATAACGCTCGATAACAAAAATTGCTTATTACTTTTTACTATAGACATGAGCTAATCATGTGACAGTCACAGATTCAATAGAATTATTATATTTATGCCATGTGAACGTGTGATGTATGTAATCAAAGTACTCACCTTATCGGAATCGGTGGTGTTCCCACTGCCGAAAGACGCGAGCGAATTTCGATCGAGATTCTCCGTCGTTTCATCAAGTATTGTGTCGTCCAGATCTCTGCAAACAATCGTGTTGTTATAACACATCATCAGTTGGGAAAATACTTTTTTTTTGGGAATATGTATAGTGACGAAGTTTGGCATAACCTTCGCACTAGGCAGGTGGCTAGGTGACCGGAATTAGGCTATCGGTTTAGTGAATGCTGAAGCTCATTGGATATATCCAGGTGCGAATAACAATACAAAAAGAAGGGACTTTAAACAATTTTCTGCACTTTTATCTGGTAATTAATGTATGCCTAATAAAATAAAAATAGTGATCTATAAAGGATAGTAATATTGCTGGTCATACCTGCTTGAGCGCTGAGAGCTAGCGGGACGGCGCGCAGGGCTCCTGGGTGGCTGGTGAAGAGCACCGCTAAAGTAAGTTTCCTGTTGAAAAGAAACATGTTTTAATAGATGGTAGACTAGAATATTTCTATTAACCAATACAAGTACATACTTAAACGCTATTGTACTCTAGTTACTTTCATAGCAAATTGTTATGTTAACATCGAGTATTTGACAAAGGCCTCAACACAAAAAAATAAAGAGGATTTCCCATAAAGGGATAATACACACAAACACATGTTACGACAATAAGAACATCATAATAAAGTTATGATATCATCATTTGATCCAATTATTATCGCACCAAACAATACGAAATTCCAAGAAGAATCAAATATGGAATATAATACATGGGATAGATATAAGATTTAATACCTTTATGTAGGGCAGCACTATCATAAAACCAAAGCTCTTAAAGCGTAAGCCGATTAAATAGCTTTGTGTATAGCCAGGGTCGGATTAAAAGGTTTGGGACATCGACAGAGTAAAGGGCCCGAATACTTTTTGTGGCCAGATGAGAAATAATCCTCTTCATAATGTTTTACGTTGTTTATTCTTCTTATTTATTTTTGAAATGAATTTTTCAGCGTTATAATAGGATTTGTTTTACGTCTGGGTAAACTGATAGAATTAAAGTACACAATTCACATTTGTTTCATACCTGGATCACTTCTCGCAGCCGTCGGACCCAGGTCTGCTTGACCTCAAGCGAGGGTGCCTTCAGCACGATGCGGCAGTCACTGGCCATGGGCTCTGGGCCGGTCCATACTGAGAACTTGCATTCATCTCCCTCGATGTGTTCGGTCACACCAAGCTCGGAAGTCTAGACAGTTATAAACTCAATTACAACGTGGTAAGCGAACAGTAAGTTAATAATTTCGTTTGATACTGTATCACTTGCACGTCTATTAGTGAAGGAAACACATTCAATTAAGTTCCACGCATTAGCTGGCAATTTACTTGGAATACAGTGATACATACTGTCGATAAATAAGGAAAGTGTTGTCAGAGTAAGAAAAGAGAACACTGTCTGAGAAAGAAACCAAATCTTACCATGAACTTAGTCTTGTAAATGTATTTCGCTTTTCCATGCGAGTCCTTGACTTCTTTAGCGAGCAGAAGATGTAGGTCAAAGAGGAATACGCGTCTCTCGCGACCTTTCTTGATGATCTGGCGAAGGTCCCACACGTGGAACGAGTCCTGCAGGACCACTTCACCGAGGCTGTCTGTGGGTACATCACACCCCTCCAGCAAGGACAGATGCATAGCGTCGTTGGCCTTCTTCGGCACAGACAACATAACCTCGAGACCGTCCTGGTAGACAAAAAAGCAATATTTACTAACTGACTCCACAGTACTGTTATAATTTGGCAAACATATAAACATTTGGTAAACTACAGATAGCTGTTGCAATAACGGATGTCAAAACCATTCTAAAACCGTTTCTCCAGAAAATTGTGCATATTTTTGGCACATCAAACATGTTCAGTGCAAATGTCAGACTACCTTGGTCCCTTGGTGCATATTTGAATGATACATGCGTTATAGGTAACTTATATATATGTCCACAAAATAAAAATGTTATTTGGGCGGTGTAACGTGACCTACAATTGAAATCTAGTGTGACGTCATAATAGTGTCAACTGTCAGTGTCACTGTCAACATTGGTAAAGATGTTGAATTCTAAAACTCTGTATGCTTTTTGTATAATACAATGAAAAGTGTATATATAGGTGAGAGATGCATACCTGCAATATACTTAACGACCTGCTTTCTTTATGTAAACCGTAAGATTAATAGTTAGGTAATGTTTACAAACCATTGACTACAAGTCAATTACGCAGATCCAACGTTTTGACGTCGAATAAAAAAAATTGTATTGCAATTCTGGTGCCAAATTGTCGTATAATATATAAGGATTCATTGATAAAAAAAATGTAAATAGGAGTCGTTAATACTAATACATCATAACAATAATTATAAAACAAGAAATAAATTCGCGTTCGTAATAGTATATTTCTTTGTACAATGTTAGTGTATAATATAGGTACTGGGTTAGAAGATAATAATACTAATATTAAATAACTATATAGTCACATGAATAGCTTATCTAGAATTAAAATAAACAAACAATATGAGGCAAACGTATAACTAAATTCAATTGCAACGAATATTAACAAGTCATAAATTGATATGGATTGCTTTACTATTGTTTTAACTAGTAATTGCATTCTCGATTAACTAAATTCTCGGTAATTATAGTTCAAAAAGACGCTTGTACTAAATTTCCAAGTGTGTGGTAATATGCTCGCACCTATAATATGGGCTTTATAGCATATATTCCGTGCCATGAATGATTAGCGGTAAGTCTTGCAATATAAGGAATATTACATAGTATATAACATTCGCAAACAGCGGCCATTTTGTTTAATTAGTAACTTGTTTAAAACATTATATACTCAACACAGTACAAAAATGAAATCAATCATTTGTATCAAAGAGCGAAATCATATGCAGATTCCTAACTGCATAAGTTGGCAGTGTAATCATCATCAATGAGTGCCATGGTCACCAAGTCACTCAACACATTAGCGTTAAATAAAAATAGGCATTACATACATTTCTAATAGAGAGAGGGCCAATCCTGTTCGCTTTAGAATTTGCTATAAACTTCAACATGATCGATGTCAGCACTTCCACTCCCGACAAAACCATTACATTTTACTGGTATTTAAATGAACAATCACAAAACATGGTAAACGACGTGTGGATGCGTTCGATAGGAACCAACTGTGGCAAATGGGCGTAAGGTGATGAGTCACGAGGAAAATATTGAACTAAATCTATTGTTAATTACCACTAAGTGAACTACTAGTTTAATCTTTAACAAATCCAACGTCCACTGCGTTTAAACAACACTACAAAATGTCAAATACAATGTATTGGCTCTACGACGCCCGCGCCGGAGGGACCCGATTGGTGATTGATTTCATTCCTTAAACCTACTGTCCTGAATCATCCAAGGCCATACAAAACGAGGTTGATTTTGGAATATTCCTCAATCACTTCCCAAAATGTAGTGACTAAGGTAAAAACAAGCAGTTTACTGTCAAACATACGTTTTGTTGTTGCGATAACCGTCATAAATTGTAAAAAACCCGACAAGGTTATATCCACAAGAGTGGTTTGTTAGCTCTATCTTGATTATCATAATAGCAGCACACATACACAACAATCTAGGAAAATAATAATTTTGGTCATTATGTTTGAAACAGTTAATGTGACGCTGTCCGTTACTAATTAGTTTGTTGTACTGATACGGGTCTGTAAACATGATTGCAATGCGTTATGGCACCATTAGAAGAGAAGTCCCTGCGTATTGAGTAGTCACATGTAAACACAACTGATGCAAACGCAATATGCAGTAGACTGTGTAATCTCACACATTTAATCATGCATAAAAAACCCTAGAATATAACGCAAATAGACATAAATAAACACATGACTGTGAAACACGTCACAACTCTAGTCAGAACATGACTAACTAATTTTCCTATATAAAAATAATATGCCGCTAATATCCTTCGTTAAGTAATTTTAAGAAAGTTTTTCTTATGAATCCCGTAGCCCCCTCACCACTGTATATTTAACAAAATTGTTTATTAAAAGTGACAGTGATTTTAGTATACAATTATAATTCATACTCAAACGTGGGCTATTCATAGTATCTTAAAGAATGTTGTACTGTATTTATGTTTAACAATGGACCCTAATTACCGGCGACTATTGATTGTTTTATCTACTTACCCAAGATATTTTGATGAGTAAACACAACAGATGAAGCTCGTTATCAGTCAGTAGTAGAGTGAGCACTAACCAAGATTGTTGAACAGATAAGTGACAGTAACTGTGGTTTTTTATTATAAAATTTCACGCAAATTGTTGGTAATACTTTGATCGCGTTAACGTCCAGCGTAAGAATTGAGTTTTCCTGTCGTCTTTATCTTATCAGTGGCTGTAATCTATAGGTACGTTTTACGAGAAATTGTTACGTACACAAAACATACGTGTCAGCGACGTAAAATTGGGTTAGTTAGGATAGAACACATGACGAGCGCTATTGACCCTGACTGTAAGATATTGTTGGGTACTTTTCTGTAGTTACCCGATAATGACATAATGTTCACGTTTACTATCAGCAGTGGTGCATTGGTAATCGTCAGAACAAGGCACTGCGGCTCGAGTAAAACATTCGTTGTTAAAGAAATCTGTCTGATCTACGACACTATTTTATTTTTAACCTCTGTACTGGCTTGCAAATGTTGTTTAAAATTAGTAATACACATAAACTTAGTAAATTGCAAAATTTAAACTAAAGTGTACATTTATTCATTGAATACAAATTAACGGAGTGCCCCATCTACCGTTAACATAACAAACAGGATAATATTATTGCTTCGTGAAAAGGTGTATTTTCCTAGAAGTAAATTATGTCGCAAATAGTCGTCAAAGACAAGGATGTGCATTTAATAAAATAAAGTTCCTACATGAACCGAAGATACTTGAATGAGCACTACTTGAGGTGCTCACCTATATTTATTTCAATTATAATGTTTATTTATTTCAAACTTATTCTCTCGGTACGCCTTAGTTTCATTGTATTACTTAATCTTTACAGAGAATTTACACATTAATATTTGTTAATTTTTTAAATTATCTCGTCGAGTACCGTCATTATAGACACAATTATAGAACAATAGGTTGCGGTAACCGGTGACCGCTTGGTGATTGACAGTTTAATTAGTAAAAATCACAGTAGATTCATCATCACTGAATTATTAGAAATTAGGTAGTCAGGTGATAACCACTGTAACTAGTAACCAGATGGTTACAGCGATTCTATTGTTACCTATAAGTATTAATTTTAAACGCAATTAAAAATAGTTTAAAGTACAGTAGATATCAAACAGATTGTCGTATTGTATACCAACTATTGCGTGCAATCAGAATCTCGAAACTTATTTGATTATTGATTACACAATAGAATTTGTAGTCAGTCTTGTCTTCCCATACCGTCGTCGTCGTAGACTACGCGGAAACAAGCAAGAGCCTAGTGTTAAAAATATTTCTACATACTACATTTCGTACAAAAAGTACTAGGTATAAAATATTTTGGATGCGTCAAATATTTGTTCTAAAAGTGTACTAGAATGAATCAGAAACAGTTGAACTGTCAGAGTGGTGAGTAGGTTTTGTTTCAACAATAAGTAAAGGAATTTATTCAACGTAGTTTCGATTTCTTTTTCGTTTAAGACTGACAATAGTAGAAAGAAAATGCTTTAAATATATTCTCAATTTAATAAAACGTAGTAATCATTGCATGTTTGAGTTTTCGGGTCATACGTCTAACCTTGATTCGCTTTTCATAGTAAGAGATTTGAACAAAGAATCGTCTTTGACGCCTGTTTCATAATTTTCCAATCACATGAATTGTTTACAGTTGAAAATAAAAAACTTCATGAACCTATCACCTCAAAGTTAGATATACTTAAAATGAGTTCAGTTCAAAATGTAGCGCTACACCTCCGTAGCGAATATTATAAGTACGTAGATATAATACTGACCTTGATTTCGCCTTGCCCTTCAGCGCAGCAGGCTTGCAGATCCTTCAGTAGCAGCTGGTACTTGGTGATACGCTGCACTGGCTTAATCAGGTATGCAGCCAGAGGGTGCTCCAGCTTCTTCTTACGTTGCACCCTGCACCACACACAATCAATAAACTAATGCACTGACCGAACGAAACAACCATTATCTACATTGCTTCCTAATGATTTTGATAAGTAAATCTTCCTAATTATTGTCACAGAGTACATCAATGCGTCCAGTAACAACGAACGAAAACTAACATTTGTATGTTCAAAGAACGAATGCTGATGACGACTGTTTAAACGATAACTGCCTATTGTTCGGGACGCTACTGTTTCTATGGAGCAGCTCTTTAAAAGGGTGATAAGATGATAACAAACCATATAATGGTCAGGTCTTCATATCTATGGGCAGTTGTAAATAAATTATGTATCTCTCAGTCGGAATGTTTGGGTTTTGAGCACGGTGTAGATATGTTCCGTGCAAACGTCTTGCAACTCGAAATAACAAGTCTCACTTGAATCGATAAGAGAGCTAAATGTGAACTAGTTTATCAACCGGCACAATTACATTTAATTATACATGACTGCAGTCAATATCTAATTTATATTGCAAATGAAAATTTCGATTTAGACGTCACGTAGCTGTTCGTATTATTTAGGTTCGCTTTCTCTAACGGAGAAGGTGAAGGTGTGCCATTTAATATCTTATGTTCTTGTCAGTACAGAGAGCATTAGTCATAGGTAATGTCCAAGTTATGACAAAGAATAAGAATTCGATAAATCCCAATAGAAGCCGTGTTTTATAATGAGCACTGAGTGATTCTACAAATAGCTAGGAAATGTAAGTCATAATTAAGAACTAAGACCTGTTAATTAAGAACTGACAACGTATGAATTAATCAAATCTAATAATAAGATAAGGCAGGAAGAAAGACATATCTGATTTTGGTTTGTCATTGTGAAACTACATATACAAGTGTCTGGTAGCAGGTAACACTTCGTTGCATAACATTAAAAGTACGCAATATACAACAGCACAAATGACGAATAATATCAATTTTACTCGAAACAAGTTCAGATGGCCACTGAAAACTCTTCAGCACTAGACGTCCTATAAGCTGTGATACTATTTGTTGTTGGGTTAACGGTTAAGATTGAATTACGGTTAGATGTTTGTGTATGGTTCACATAAAACCCTTACCTTTCAAAATAGTCGCCAGCATTTTGCACGACGGCCGCGTTACTATCAGGCTTGTTGCGGCAGTAAGACACGTACATGTCGAACTCCCGCGCCCACGTCACGAAGCAATGACCCACGTCTTCGGGCATTGTCTCGTATTTATCCAGCTCACGGAGGAACACACGCTCATGGAAGCGGTGGATCTCCTCAATGTTGCCAAATATGATCTCCTCCTAGACAGAAACGACTGGATGAAATGATTATCACATCAGCCACTCGTGACCGGCCAATGAGAGCAATTTAACCTCAAAAAAATAAGGAACAAAAACGCCAATGCTGGATTGTAGTCTTATTGCTCTGCGCTCGGCGGTTCTGAGATCGCAGTACTAAATTTTTGGCTTAAAAATCGCCTGTTAAGAACCTACCAAATTGAGGATTATATTTTTTTTTATTTAATCCTTGCTGGGCAGACGGTTGATCATTAAAAACAATAATATAGGTACTTAGATGAGGGAAAAACCTCAAATGTGTTTATGGCGTTATGTACAGAACGTACCTTCCCCTGCAGCGCTTGTGGCACGGCGCCGGGGTCTGTGCGCATCTCCCGCAAGTAGCACGTGATGCATGTCTCCAGATCCTTCACATACGCACGCTCCGTCTGCAGTAACTCCGCCATTATAAACCTGTATGAATTTCAATTTCATTGTAGTTAAGTACAGAAAACAGCATACTAAAAACTTAATAAAAAAGTTCGTACTCTTTGCGTCTAGCGCTGCGTCGTTTGTCATCGCCAACTGCGGTGGGTTGCGGTTCTGCGCGGGCGTCGTTGTCCGCCGACTGAGATGACGCTAGGGAAGGAGCCACGCCCGAGTCACTCTCTGGTTCGCTCTCACCTCCTTCCATGGAACCGCTGAACTCTGCATATCTGGACATAATAAACACCAATTCTAAATAATTATACATGTAATTAAACGACACAGTACGATAAAATTGGCAAGATTTATCAGCTATCTGTCCAAGCGTTCTATCAATAAAAGTAATGAAAGTGAACTTGTGTCAGAGTTGACACTTGGCCAAATATGAGGGATACATAAGTATACGAAGTGTTGATGTAGTTACCTGGCATCAACGGCGGCAACCCATTCCTTGATCTGCACGGCATGTGGGTGTCCCTTCTCGACGAGTCCGTCGGCTAGTTGAGCGAGTAGACGCACGCGTTCCCGGGACTCGCGCGCGACGCCGCCCGCCGCAGCCGCCGCGGCCGCACCACATCGCTCCTGCGTCTCCTTGATCCATTCCACTGCAGCACGCGCTGACCGCTCGAACAAAGCGAACTGCTGACACTGCTCCAGACGCTTCTTACGCACCGTCCAGTGTTCCAATACCTATCGGAAATTAACAAACTTGTAATAAGACCCGATTACTCTGTGACCTACCAGTAGTTACAGGTGCACAAAGAAACGATTGGAGAAATCCAAAAGGTATTATAACAGCACGTCAAATCACAAATCCTTTAGTAATCCTGTGATCTCCATGAAATCCTGGACACACTTGAATATATTTGGATGTGATGAAGATATACCGGTTGTATGATCACCATAACAAAACTCTTTATCATGTTCACGCAGCGCGCGCGCTTGAACTAGACACATGGCATATGAGAGCAGGCGGCCGGGGCTTCATGTTAGCTGCCCTCGAGATACCATCGCACGCCATACAATAAAAACCTTATTGTTTCCACGTCCATTCTAACGCGACGACACTGACACCAGCAATGCCACACCACTAGTATTAACCTACATGAAAACTTGTACGTTGTACATAAATATTGTTATTGACATAATTGGAATGTTCAGTAGTCGTGTAAACAAACAAACAAATTGAAATCGTAGCAAAGGAAGCGTATATCTGTTGAATAACGGCGCAACGCAAAAATAGCAATGCTATGAAAACGTCCGATTGATATCTCTGAAGGGTTTCTATTCAGTGTTATTTTTACACTTCCTGTGAACAATGTGATTCTATAAACTTGTCCTGTCGACCTTGCCGTGCTAAAGTACCGCAAATGTGTTATTTTTATAAATTACCAACGACTAAAATGTTGACCGAACACTAATAACAGTGACAGACAATATTTACAGCTTTCAATGATATTGCACGCTCTTATTAGTTTCCAGAGGTATAATTATTGTTAATCAATTATTTTATTGACGCGACGCATCGTTGTTGCCTGTACCAAAACCAGTAATTATTTTTTCTCGTGCGGAAGGAAAAACTGAAGTTAGTGGCAATCAAAGCACGCAGTTTTTATGTATTTCCTCATTAAAGCGTGCTGTAAAAGTGTGACTGTTATTTCTCTTGCATTGTATCGTGTCTACGTGAACGGATTAATCGTCTCGAAGACGTTCACGTTTGATTACATTTACATACAGTATATATACACGATTCTTGTTGTGAAACTGCATTTACTATCTCAAGTAGTTTTTGTTCAGCATATAAAATTAACGAAGCGAAATTAATTAACAAACTTTCCTAGACACAAGATTCTAGAATGGAAAATGTCTCTGAAAATATTTTAAATTTTTCTTTAAACTCGTACTACAAGCTGTGAATATATTTCTTCGAAACAATATTGATTTTCCATGCAGTATCGATGGCGACGTCAATTGCAGAAATATAATTAATTCTTCGATACAAGTGTGTCAAAGACATTGTTAGCACTGGCCTACTATAGAATCATTAAATGTTCATAAAACCTTCAGTTGTAAGGTATATTATACTTGTCCTACAACTATATGACAAAGTGGGTGACGATTTATTGTGAAAAGGTAGATTAATTTAAATAAGGTTATTCTGAATGATGTCGATCTGATGCAACAAAAGTACTGAAATTACAGCCGATCGATTCAAAATCTCTGGATTGATGTAATAAGTACATATACTTACAGAAATTAAAACAATTAACATCAATAAAGGAATGTCGATCTCTGACTGGATTTTGGTGTTACATTGTCCTCACACAATTGAACCAACAAAACTGTGTAACTAAAATTTGTATTGTGAACCTGATTGAAAAAGGTGAACGTATGGAGTTTCTTGTTCTTTCTTCTCCATAGGAATCTACACCTTGGAATGAGCAAATAACTTCACTTTAATTTTTGTTGCCATTCAAAAAGTGCTTCCTGGTCTGATTGAACTAAATGCTTTTGATTTGACTTAACTTGTAATAGGCTAACGTCCAAGTCTAGTAGGGAATAATGGAACAAGAATTGTTCCAACTTCAAGTACTTACTTCGACATAAGAACAAGAAGACAAAAATGATACTTTTCTAGTATTTAACAATATAGCGATGGGATTTTAGATAAATACGATCAACTTGTTCATAAAATAAAAAACAGCAACACACACATGATGCAAAGGAGTGTTTAACCAACGGACAATAGCTTAACTGTAACCGCAATATCCGTCGGATAAAAAATACTAATTTAGCCATGGTAGGATTGACAAACATATCTTATGACAATTTTACCGTTCCAGTAGCAGCACGAAGTCCAGAAATGTGCCCGGTATAACGTTATGCTATAAGCTCAGCAGTACTAGGGAGTCCATGGGACTTATAACATAAATAGTGTAAAGTGGGTGTTACATTGTACAGTGGCATTAAGTGCCGTAACGTGCACCTACGCCTACCCCTTCGGGGATAAAAGGCGTGATGTTATTTTATGACAATAATTCGGTTAATGATCCAATAAACCGCGATAGGAAACCTGTGATTCTTATACACGTTTTCACTAATCTCGCCTAGTTTAGAGAAACCCCTAAGACACTAGAGGGGATAAGTGATATCAAACAGTACAAGTATAGAGTTTGTTTAACTGCTACGTCACGCTAAGAAACTTTTAATTATAAGATGGTTTGTGAGGTGGTTCGTGAGAATGGCCGTTAGAATCATCGAAAATATTTCACATCTTAATCACTAAACATTCACAGCAACACTAAACAATTGGGTACTTTACTTTAATCAAAAACGAATTATTTCCACTGTTCAATACAATCAAGTATTAAAATATAATCACACTTTCATTAATTGATTTTATGACCAACTTAATTTTAGTTTTTTTCCAGCAAAATTTTATTATTTAAGTATGCTATTTGTCGCCAAATAACGTGACGTCATCAAATATCGTACAACATTATAGAAAACTATCGTTTTTGACAGTTCGAAAAAAGTATTTTTGACTAGTTTGCAAGTACCTAATTGACTAAGCTTAATAACTTCTTACCTTATTCTCTTGAGCCAGTAGAGTATCAAGTATAGCCCTGGTTTGCTCATGATGGGCTTTGCTGGCCGCGGCGGTCTGGCCGTGTACTTGAGCGGATCGCGCCGCATATTTGAGGAACGTCTCAGCGGTACGTCGAGCAAGGGTGCACGCCTTCAAGAAGGCCTCCTTCTGTTCACCATGCTTCACTATTAATGCAGCCACCTGAAACAGGACCACGAACTTTAGTAAACCATAATAAATACTTGAAAATGTGAAATGCCCATTGTATTTTTAACCTGTGTTTATAGGTGTTACAATCAAATGATTTGATTTGAAATAACCGATTGTTTTATTTTTAATTTTTTCGTTGTAAGCAGTTATCTCAGTTAAGAGAAATCCATCGCGAAAATCACAACTTTGACGCACATATGGGGACCAATACGAATTGTACCGTCGGAACAGCTAGTCAGTTATAAATATTTAAGATCCACACTCACGGTGACGTTAATCAAAACACCGACACAAGTTAACGGTTATTGCCATCCCTCCTCCTGTTAACTGGATGTCGTATTTGCAAATACAAAATAATAAGAGCGGCAAGTCTATAAATCTGCAACGCGATATAAACCAAAATTTCAAACATTTTGAAATAGCACGTTAACAAATTCAAAGTTAAAAAGTTGAATTTAAAACCAACGATCGGAATTTTCGAAAATCGATAAAGGAGCCCCTGAGACGGGTGCACTGCGCGACAATAGTGGCGGTTGTAATATAATCGATACAAAGGCGTAGGTAGCTCTTCACTTATGCAAATGGCCGCGGATGGGTAGTTGGAAATGGAAGATGAAAGTTGAATTACAGGATAGTGTAGTTACCTGTGCGGCTTTGTCGATGTTTAGCTGGAGAGTCTGGTCGTCGGCGGGCGGGGCGGCTGCTGAGCCGCACCAGTCCTCGTCCCGGCGGTACTCCCGCTCCAGAGAATCCAGTACTGAGCAAACCTGCTCGGCTGTCTTGTAGAAGTTGAGGGACGCAGTTACCAGCTTGTGACGCTCCTCCGCACAGGTCACCAGCCTCTGCCATCGTTCAGTAACTTCTTCCGAGATTTCTCTATTGTAAAAAAACGTAGTCATTGAAAAATAGTTAAAGTCTATCTCGAGCTATATTCGTATTATAGCTGATATTATGATGATGATGACTTTAAAAGCAGTTTTTTTGAACCCATAAATTATCTTAACTATTGATGGCAAATACTCTGCAAACGGCTGGTTACATTATCGATTAACGCACGACAATTATAAAGTAAAACAGTTACGTGTTTGAACCGAAAAATAGAATAATTATTTATTAATTTAGTACTTCTCATGAAAATTATAATAAAATCCCTCTTTAAACAAATAAAAGAACACTTTCGTAAATGTCGACAAATCGGGCACCGGTAAACCCTTACTGTATCGACCTTGGGAATAACTGTTTCGTTTCGCAGCTGCAAAAGCTTCCACGATGCAAAAATAATTGCACCAGCCCTACAGCTGAACAAATGTTGTAGTTATTATTTATAAGGAAAACCTAACATTATGCAATTATTATAATGGCTGTTGGTTGGTTTGTTTGTTCTTTCATGTCCGAAAATAACCGTGTGCATTGTTAAGGGGAAGACAAATGGGTTTTACAAAATATCTTATAGTTTATGCAAAGATTACTGCGGCATGCTATCGTTTTCTAAGAATGTATTTGAATGTTGGTTTAGTAATCTTGTAGGTAGTATATTGCATTGTGACTGCCTCGTTGGCCGAGTGGTCTCAAGTGCGACCGCCGGCAAAGTATTGCTGGTTTTTTTTTAAATCTCAGTAGTAGCACAGAGTCTGGAATTGTGCCCGGTATATGGTAATAGGCTCACCACATTTTACATAGAACTCATAACATAAATACTGAAAAGTGGGTGTTATATTGTACAGTGGCATTAAGTGCCGTAATGTGCACCTCTGCCGACCCCTTCAAGGATAAAAGGCGTGATGCTATATATATTTATATTGTATTTATTGACTTGAACATGTAGGCGTATTTTTCAGATTCATAATAACAGAAGGTTGCGGCTCTATTCCATGTTGTAAAAAATGGCATCTACATTATTATTATTATTCTCCGAGGACTGGAAGTGAAATGTAAATGACGTCTTTTCCCAAATTTCGATAAAACAATAGGTATCGATAATTAATTGGGTAACCTATTCAGTCGTATTATTAGTAGTAGTATTGTCGTTCAGTCTGGGTGTGCCGTGAAATTGTATTTGTCACCCAGCTTCTTGTTGTTCTGGTAGGTGAGTCCTACTAGACACAGGTGTGCAATGTAACTACCACTTTTGACCAGTTAAGTTACATTTTTAACGTTTAAAACTGCTGCCTTGTAGCCTATTTGCAGAAATCAATTTACTTGTTTCACTTATTCCCATCAACCAGGCATCATTCCAGACTGTCCTATGTCTGAACTATTTCCGAAAAACCTCAGAATCGTGCATTTTGCTCGGTCTCATAACTGTTAAAGCATTTAACTAGTTATGATAAAATTATTCTATTCTACACAAATATAATATGCTACCTATGCCTATAACATGAATTCTACATAGAGAAATGAAGTTAATAATACTTCAAACAAATAAGCACCTGGCAGACACTGCACAAGTAGTGGACAGCAAAATGTATTCTAGTCAGTAAATGCAAAGAATTTAAACAGTCTAGACGTTGGGCAGCGGATCTCCCCCTAACTACTCGATTAACATTGTAGTGCGCGGCGGGCTTACTAGATGGCGTTAAGAAGTGTAGCGAGTAGAGAGAGAGAGAGATAGAGGGAGAGATAGCTAGAGAGAGAGAGAGATTCAAAACATTATTAAGTGCTTTTAACTTATTCCGTTTGTCTCTTCATAGACCATAATAAAATGTGTAAATATTCATCTTTCAAGTTCTTACAATTAAAGACTAAATGCTTAAGCACTGTATAGTCAACATAGCACTTCGTACGCGCAATCCCGTTTCTTCCATTTCCGTAGAATTTTCAGGACTTTTTCTGTCTTAAGAACCTTCTCCTGACTATAACAAACACGACAAAAAATCAGCCAAACCGGTCTAGTCGTTCTTAAGTTATGGCGTGACAACGGGAAACGAGTTTCATTATTATATATATAGGTAGTATCATCATCATCACGGAAATAGTCCACGAGTAGACTGTAGGCCTCCTCGAAATAAGAAGATTTGCTCGAAATAAGAATAAGAGGGTTTCTCTCCACACTAGGACATTCCTATTACCCAGTTTAGGAACGAATTTAATGTGTGTTCAGACCAGTGTAAGAAAGTTTACAAGAATGATGTTTTACACAACAATCGGACGCCTACTGATAATTAGATACCCGTTAAGTACATAGGTACATATTAGCTGTTGAAAATCAAAATTAACTCACCGGATAGTATGTGGGTCGTAGTGATTGGCAGCTCGCAGAGCATCAGCCCTGTACTTGACTTGCACTGCACTTGCGTGTGTCTTCTCGACAGCGACTTGGAACTGGTCATGTTCTCTCTTCAGCTGTTCGGCCTCCGACAGGGTGCCAGGAATTGAGAACGAAGCCGCCAACATCGCTTCGCCGTTACGAATCCAACTAACCACTTGAGCAGCGTCCTTTTGGAATTGACCTGCAACAATACGGATATGTCTCCATAACTGCCAAATATACCACTGAGAAACAGCACAAAAATTTCTTAGATACGTCGCAAACATGTCCCCCCCATGAACTAATAGAAATAATAACGCGTCGTAAATATTGTTTACGCAGAATTTCTATATTTTACACCATTCTCTGATGAACCCATGCTGACGTAGGCTTTCAATTATTCTGCTCAAAGGCTTTAACGAGATATTCGACACCCTCGTGTGTACACAAACTAGTATGCAATATGAACATACTTTTCTACATAATCACGTTACACACTGTTATTAGATCCTACTATACACACATATGCGTATAGTTATTGAAATGCATAATAGACTAAGTGAAACTGTACCTAGTAGTCCATTAGCATCTAATGGTAACATAGGAAGATGTTAAGTCAACCAAAAGTTTTACAACTTCAGATGGATGTTTCTCGAACGAGTACTAAGACTAAGACTTATGGCGTGAATAATATATCAGCTTAACTTTACCTGCTTGTTCTAGCGGCGGAGATAAAATATGAAAAGCACTGATAGTACTGTGTCGTAAAATCCAAAATATTTGATCCATTGCGCGGAATATGACAAACACATGTATCCCCTGTTTGACAGACACTAACCTAAGATTATGTTTACTGCGGCTCCTGATTTCCTTGTTTCTATGAGTTGTAGTATTATACAATAGTATTAATAGATAATCTATATTTTACCTAGTGCACTGCTTCTATTTTACTCATTTATTGAATCTATATAAAGCAACTTCCTGTGTTTATATATTATTGTTACTTTATTATTATGTGTTAAATTTTTTATGTGATAAGGGCCGAACAAAGAGGTCACCTGAGAGCAGGCAACGAAGTATTTGATTTCTGATATACGTTTTCAGCCAAATAACCAAGATCTTATTTATTTTAGCCCTCTTATATTTCTTCGATTGTTAATCCACTTCCAAGCTTTCAGCTCTCTCTTAATCATAGGTCTAGAAAGAATACAACAATAAATATCTGTGAGTGCATTTACCTGGTGTACAGTATTAAAACAAGCGCATTACTGGAACTGATTCAGCCGAATGTGTGTCAGCGACCTATTTACCAAAGTACAGCGGTGTTATACCAGCTCTTTAGTGTTTTTGGATAGCTAAACCATTTCCGTTACACCTTGTATAAAGATATAGGTAAACGCACATCCTGTTACACTCTGTATAAAGCTGTAAAAGATATTTACTTACCTAACTGGACGCACTGTTCGAATCGAGCACGTCTTTCTTCAGCCAGCTCTTCTAAATCAAGTTGCCGGTCGTGTAAGAACTCTAGTAGGAGCTGAACGCGCGCTTGCGCATCAAGAGGAGCTGCTTCAGATCCGTCTGAGCCACTTGAGGCCATTACATCCGAAGCGTCTGCGATAGCCGCCGCAAGCTCTTGACCTTGCTGAACCACCTGGATTTAGGATAAAAATATTATTATTAGCTTTTGAACTTTCAATAAACTGCTGTATGCCTATCGTAAACCAATTTTGTAAAGAAAACTATTTTGCTTTTTGTTTAAATTTAATAAGTTAATGTGTATTCTATTAACATTTCATCCTTTTGTGCTGGGTAAGGAGAAGTCAAGATTCAAACTCATTTGAACATCAACTGTCAAAGTTATTAAGATATCGGTGATGGATATTTCATATTTGATAAACCAATGCAGTTAGTAAACTCATAGATCGTCTTACAACTCTTTACATGCCTTGGGCACATAAATAAGAAAACTAGCAATGAAAGATTGGTTCAGACAAGCTGTATCTCATTACTGTATTCAAATATCGAGGTAAAAGAAGAACATACCTGAAAGGTGGCATGTTGCATTCTAGCCACACTCTCGTTGTGTGCAGCCAATGCCTGTTCAGCTTGTTGAGGGTCCCGAGGAGGTTCCGTCCTCTGGAGCTCGTCGCCCCAGAGCTCCAATCGTGACGATACCTGGAAACAGCACGAACAGAGTCAACACATGTGAAACATTACCGAGAACAAACATTGATTAAAAGAAATTGATATTTTCTGTTTTCTAAACACATTTGTTTATTGTTGTTTATATTTGAAACTCAAGTTATCTGTCTTACTTTTTATTATAGATTAAAATATTTAAGTAAATCATTATTACAGTGCTTAATAAAAAATTTACTAGTTATGCGCCCAACTAGTAGGTACCTACGTCAAATTGATTGGTGGAAATCTATCAATACAAGTCACCATGCCCTAATACTTTTGTTAAGGTTCAACTAGTTATATTCTTTAAATATAAGGTCATGGGCACTTCACACATAAGGAGTCAGTTTGAAAGGTTCCTAACCTTTTGATTATGTTTTTACTCGTTATATATGTGCGTGCATTGTCTTCACATATATGTATGTATGATGTAAGCACTAGTACGTCTATTGTTTGGTAGCTACTCGTGTTTATTATACCTACACGTAGAATATTCCATTATTGTCGAAAAATTGCGCGTGTACATTGCTCAAGTTATTATGAAGGTGACTTATCAGTATTTCAATATAATCGCGGTATTACGGGTATATTTGTTTACATGAATAGGCATTTTATGAGTGTATTGTTTTATGGGTTGATTGGTGTTGAATAATAAATAGTTTTAGTAAGGGAGTCGGAACGCATCGTGGAGCAATAGACGTCGAGCCATTGTCATGATGCAGTGTGTTCAAGTTCTTATCACATCCCTCCACGGGCGCATGCAAACCGATGGCAATCAGTGTTTCAATTGTGCAGCGTCTACCGTGCCGTGCACTGGCCCGGACTGATGTCATTGGATCGATGCCAGTATTCCAGGGCCGCACTACGCATATTTATACGTCTTAAATAAAATTTTAACGAAATATTGATTATGAATATTCGGATTGTGTTCAGTACCTGGCTTCTTTTAACTAGGTAAGATATGTTGTCGATTTCATTTAAACGGGCAGTTTAATATACATATATTAGAAAGACATATTAATAAGGGGAAACCAAAGTGAATCTCGAGAGTTGCAGTTGAAAATCTTTTAGGAACTCTTAAATCAAAGTACACAAAGACATGCCTTAAACCATAAACTGCGTAATAAAATAATTCAAGGTCATTTCACATGTCCTGTACACTGTATCCTGTGTCGATTGTATCAACACAACTCTCGCCCCTGGTCGACACCACGGGGGACCGTGACCACCCTAAATTGGCCCACCCCACATTCATCAAAACCGAATGCATTTATTAAATGAAGGTACTATCATATAGAACAATCGGAGCCCCATACAAAAGCTTACTAATCCGGATTCATTTTACTAATTGGACTTCAATCAAATTGGAAGCTACGCATGTGTACCTGTGCAATTTTACATTACCTGCGAGGGCTGAAGAGCATTTCTTGCGCTATCGGTGGCTGTATAATCGAACACACGGTGTGCTTCACCAACTTTTAACGAGTTTTCATCATAATAAAGTCACAAAGTTACTTTACACTTTCAAATACAGTTTTTATATTGGTGTGGCTGCAGATTTTTAATAAACTTTGCACTTCGCCAGGATGATTAGTTTAGCTTTAGTTGAAAGTTTTATTCAATTTTAGAAATAGTAGCGACATTTTTACTTCGCTTCGTTCACAAATGAGCAGTCAGACTGATTTTCCAACATCTGTTTATTAGTGTTTGCTTACCTCTAAGGCGTCTCTTTCGAAATGCCTAAGCTGTAGCGTGAGTTCGAGTCTTCTTTCACGATCAGACCAGAGCTCTTCAAGAGCTCCCCGAGTGCCTCTAAGTCGTTCCAAGGTCGTCTCTACGGCAGCAGTGCTTGCCGCATCCGAATCGCCCGATGATCTGTAGTCAACAAAACCATAGTAAATAAATATAACCAGGTATACACAAATTCAAAACTTGACAATTCTAGTTTTAAACGAATGCTGTTTCAATTTCAGTTAACATATTTAATTTTAATTTTGCGGATCCTTGGCAACATATTTGTCTTGATTATATTTAGTCCTTATTGTGTACCTTAAAGAGTTTAATCGATCTCAGTAACAAGATACATTATAACATGTCTATATAGAATCAATAATTATGTCAATAAGGTACATAATATGATGTCCTAACAATGGATCTATTTACATTTGACAGCCAAATAGCATTGCATACAACATTCCAGGTTTGAGTGACATATAAGCAAGTTATTACTCAATTAGCCGCAAGTAATAACAAGCGCACAACAATATCACTGCACATGTGAACATGTAGATTGTTGACACGACAATATCGCTTGTAATACGACGGATAAGAGTTCATTTCAATAAGCAACTTCCTCTGAAAATTATGTAATCCTTTTATTTCCGAGCGAGGTAAAGAAAAGAGGAACCGCCAAGCGCCAAGCATACGGAAATTAACTTTCAATAAGTTCCTCTGACAATTGGTTTTGATTGAAAGCTGTGCGAAGTCATTCTAAGGCGGTTACTTTTACTACAAAGTGTTTATTGGACAGCTAAAAAACAGTTCGTAAGACATTGGTTTCTATTTCCCTTTATGAATCAGAGTTTAGTACTTGTGCTGGGTCATGGGTACCTACGCCTCGTTGGCGTTTCAAGGTAGGCAACAAAATAAATCAGCTTAGTACCTATTCCAGTTTGGTGGATTAGTTCGTTAAACACTAAGTTATTATTTCTAAGATTTTGTTTAACTTTATATGGAATGCAATAAATGTAATTTTTGCTTAGTTTAAAATCCCTCCACACGACCCAATTTTACGCTCAATTTGACTAGATCGACAATCGAATCGGGTCGTATGAACGGAAATATGAAATGTAAGGTCATTGGGTGGTTGGTATCGCCCATTTTGGGTTGCTTAATCATATCGTTTTTAATCCACATCTGAAGATAGAGCCAAAATCAATCCAAATTTTTGCTTGGTAAGAGACATATTGATAGAAAGAAGTCTGCTTTGCAGAGGCAGCAAAAAAAACTAAAATTGGCGATTTAATGTGTATCTATCGATGGACGATCAGACTGTGCCCAATTCCATCGGCAAGCAAATTGGCAATCAAATTGTGTCGCGTGGAAGGGGTTTTAAGCTGGATTCCAGACATACATCAGATTTTAGTCAACAGTACATGTAATCAAGAGTGCCAAACTACGCTACATTCTCCGATCATTTTTTTCTGAGAGGTCTTGGTCGGTTGACCAGACCTAAGCTAATCTAATTTCCACTGCAGGCTGTCAATTTCTATTAGCATTCAGACAAACTACATATGTGTACCAGGATGAAGTAACTTGCAATACTGCCCCCAAGTCCGGATACACAGGCACTAAGGACTGTGTCCCCCTCATCTCAAGTGCTCTCTCAATTTAAGGTCCATTCTAACGACAGAAGCCGATTTAAGTATACATGGTAAGGGTCCTCATATCACTCGAGACGCGATATAAGATCTCTTGACCAATGTACTATTTTGTAGCCAATGGTCATTCAACTTTGATATGTGATTGCACAATAACAACATAATGTCAGTATTCGAAAAGGTAGACACCGACATTGCAATAAAGTAGCAAAGTTCGACTCCTACGTTACAGGATGTGAGCTAATTAATGATAGACACCGGCTCGTTATTTCAGACTTCTTGCTAAATTGAGAAAATCTATATCTGTGTCTAATAATACATTTTGTGTCCAGTGTAGAGATTCCTATGTTCATTTGTCGAGTTTGCGACCAACGAAGCAATCCAATGACTGCTTTATTGTGTCACTGCAGCACAATTACTCAGTGATACAACTTTTTACACGCCAACCAGTGACAAGAGAAAACTCCCAGTAGATATAGTTTCTGCCAATTAAGAGATTTCCAACACTAAGCCATAAATATTACGAAGACAACAGTAACTCAGAAAAACAATATTTGAAGCACAATATTAACTTGTCTTAATAAATCATGTTTCTTTAATTAGTAAGTGGTACGTGTAAAAATATTTTAATCAAATCTATATTATTGCCACAACGCGAGTTAGATTACCACACGAACGGCCTAAAACTTTTTTAATAATAAAATGTCGACGGTATATTAGGATAAGGATCAATTAAGATAATAGCAGTACCTTATTTGTAGTTATAATACTTATTTCAAAAATAAATCTCTGCCAAGAGACTCCACAAATCGCATCCATTATACAATTGAAACCCCCTATACAAATGTAGACATGTAATGAAAATATTGGCGTAAAGACGAGTCGTTTAATAACTTGTAATTATTTGTTTGTAGGTGCAATACTCAACGTTAATTGGTATCGTGTTCACTTCAAATGAACATGTAAATATAAAGGCGATTTCGGAAATTCCTAATGATGTTGCATGCGCCTCCAAGTTGGCATTATACTACACACCATTTTACCATTAAAACGATGATAATTGCACACGTCTGTGTACAATATGAGATTTATTACTTCTGCAATTATTCCTTTGCACCGCTGAATGGAGAACGCTCAAGGGATAACTTTTCCTTCCGTTAATTATAGTAGTCAATTAGTACCTATTTTGAAACTAGTAGAGAAGACGCTGAGTTGAACCTGTTTAAGTGTAAACCTTACAAGAGAGACTAATTGGAAATTTGAGTACAGTGTGGAAATAAAGGTCAATGATATCATAGTTATAAAGGAAGTAAGAAGACAAAGCACTTTCAGACATTGATAAACACTCGGCTTCGTCCACCATAACATTCACGCTCGGTTTCCAGCGGAAGGCAGTTGAAAGTAGAGTCGGTATTATAACACGCACTGACCCATTGCCATAAAAATAATTCATCATGAAGCAAAGAAAGTGAAATAACCTTGAATTTAAAATGATTAAAAAAAAACAAAACAAAATCATACCTCCATCGTAAACATTGCACCGGCGATTTATGCCTGTGAGAGCGCCGATGATATTTGAGCATTTTGCACAAAAATGTTCATTTCACCGGCGCAATCAGATACGATAACGTTAACCGTCGCTAATCGTCGTAGAAATCACTGCACTGACACTGCGAATACTAATTGCCAGCATTTAAATCAACAGTTATATTTTGAGCACGTAAGAAGGTTGTTATGGGTAATAATTACTTGAGCATAGTTATTAAAAGCAGACGGTGACCCACAATGCGTGTGCGCCTACTGTTATGTTACGGTTGGATAGTAAATTTCTTACAACGATCTGCTTCTCCTGGACGTTATCTCACAATTAATTCAATAGCTGCGATTCAAACCCGTGCGCTATTGAAAACCGCACTATTATATTTATAAATACATTACGTAATAATGGTGAATAAAATTCTTAACGAGACTATAATGGTAGCATTATGAAAATTAGACATAAAGATGTTATCCCAAGCATTGTGTAAACATGTACGGAATGTGGGAGAAACACCTCAACACCCAGTTAATTGCAAGTCAACTCTAACTATGTGTCAGCGCCGCCGTGTCGGATACAAAAGACATGTAAAACGGATGGGACGTTAACATTCGCAACTATAAATAACTATGTAAAGGTTTAACAACAACATGTTTTTACCAATAAGACCCTTGTAAAGGTGCTAAACGATTGTCTACGTTCAAGTAATTACACGAAATCAGTTCAAAAACATGTATTATTGCATGTGTAATCCGTTTACTCATTTTATTTTAGCAAAGTTGTTATTAGTTATATTGAAAGACAATGCCTAAAGGTATTTTAACACGAACCGCATCGAATAATTGAGTTATTATCAAGATACGAAAGAATTTTGTAAACATGTGAAACTGAAGGTGGCAAAGCCATTCATTTACACGTTTGTGTTATTAAAGCAGTTTTATAATATAATGAGTAAATTCGCAGGTACCTCCAGAGGGACAAGTTTCGCAAGGCGAGCGGGCAACATCCCGTCATTGTGTTCGAGGGCCGTTCAACTAGGCTACGACAAATTACCTTAATTTTAATCATTAGCGTATTTGCAAGGCTGCGTGACAGACTTTGCAATCACGTCAACGATGCAACGGTACCAGTTTTAATGTTATCTCAGATACTGGCCTCACAGAGAACTTCAGTAACTACAGAGAGGATATAACTAGCAATTTAAAAGGTAACCCTACAGTCTGGCTACTGAAACAAAACTAATATTAACATTAAACTTCCTATTTAACTACTGCAGTATTTGTTTAAAACAAACCAGACAAGTTCAAGGTAGAAAGTTGAATAAGGGAGGCCACAAAGGCTTCGTTTCGTAGCCAATGAATATACGTAGCACCGCAGCAGGACCGATTGTTTAGACTTTGGTAGGAGTCCCCAGTAACAAGTAACATTCTTTCATAGGTCCTGATAGAAAAAACAAAAACAAACTTCTTGTTCGTGGCTACCCCTACCAACTAATCTCCGTATCTAAACAATACTGTTCACAAGTCCGAAATGGGGTCGGACAAACCGATGCTTTAGCAACGACTGATTCGCGTTTGAATCAAATTCTTTTCCGCGAGGGAAGTCCACACAAACAACAACACACATTTAGTTTAAAAAAAATGTCTTGTTTATAAATGATCTCAATAAACATCATTATGTATTGACATAGATGCATAATTGAATAATTAATATACATATGAATGAAGAATAATTTTTACAGGAGCACAGCCTTCCTCTTTGCTTCAACATAGTCGGGTAAAAAAATAAACCCACACAGGGCGACATAATAGGACGACTTTAGAATAATAGTAGTAAGGCGGGCTTGCTCTTGAACGCGTGAGGACCGCAATTGCTCTGACACGAGTAACCGACTAACAACAACGATATTATGTGTGCGCACGCCGATTGTAAATGTTGATAACGTTAGCCACCGGAGA